TGAACGAGCCTGTACAACAATGTGAACTCCTCCGATTATTTTGGCTAGTTTGCATAGAGGAATTTTTATTACAACTATTTTCTTATATTTGATGTTCTTTCTTCCATTCCATAAAATCTTTCAAAAAAAATGTATGAGGAAAGCAGATGTGGGGAGAATCTGGTAGTGGTTTTCAATGTTTATCAATTTCATGATTTTGTTTTAGGCTCATATCCATCAATTATGCTAAAAAATCTCATGGACTATAGAACTTCATGAAGGAATATTAATAGCTTAGCGATATCCTTAGAGCAGTTAATTTGTTCTTTAAGATTCTAAGAATTAAATCTGATTTTCTTTGGAGTTTAAAAAAGGTCAAACCATTAGCTTTATTGCAAACTAAAGCTAATACTTTTGGATTGGTGTTGTGTGACAACAAAGGGTCAACGATCCTTCTATATATACCAACGAATTTTTTGATTGTATGATGTGAATTCGTAAGTCTCATCTTCAAGTCATGGAAATTAGAAGATGCGCAAATATCTCACTTGAAATTTTAGAACTTGGATTTCCATATTAAAATACTAATTTTTTTTTACTCAACCCAAAAACTGAAAAGTAAGCCCAAAAAGGGAAAAACAAAGATTTCTCAGTTAAAATTCTACAGCATCATAATTTTTTTTTTCCAGTTTAATGTATCATATAACCAATAGGAAAAACACTTCTCATTTAAAATTCATTAAATCAAGCAACCGAACTAAGAAATAAGCGTGCATAAATGATCACCCAAATTGTTATAAGAGAATAAAAATAGGATTGCATAGCTTAAAATTTTTATCAAAGAAAATTCCAGTACATGCACATACTTTAACTGAAACTACAAATTAGGTTTGTTGATATTAGGATGAAAGGAAGCACATTCATATCTGCACCGACAATAGAAATGTCAAATAGTGGTATATTTTGAAAGAAAAAAATTGTTTATAACATTAACATCGATTGAATTTGTGTGTTGATCTAAAAATAGAATTACAACCGATTTTCAAATGTATATGATTTGGTTAAGCAGAACTTGTGTTGAGTTAAAATTCTTTAAGGAATACGGGAAATCAATTAGGACCGAGGCTCATCAATTATTTTTTTAAGCCTTCAGAAGTACTTAGAATGCTATACAACAACTCATTTTTCAGAATAGGAAAAAGAGTAGCACTAAAGCCTAATCCTCTAAAAGCAAAGAGCAAGACAAGTTGATGGATAGATTATATATGTTCAGAACTTGTTTTCTAATAAATCAACAACATCCACTCACACCAAGTCAGCATTGTCCCATTTATGAGAACTTTCCATTACATAAATGATAAAAGAAGAAAAACTAGACCCAAGGTCCAAACTTTTTGCACCCATTCATCACATAATATTGTTTGGTATTCAGTTCACAAGAAGTCATTTGTAGAGGTTGAATCCCTCTTTCCACAGACCAAAAGAAGTCCTTTATAGAGGTTGGATCCCTCTATCCTCTATGAGGCTAAGAAGTAAAACTCTAGGTGTGTAGGATGCAATCTCTGTGTGTAAGGAAACAAAAAAAAAAGAAGATATAAGTCAATTAAGGCACTCGTTAAATACATATATAACTGACTTACCAACAAACAAAGTATATATTTAGGATCATTTTAGAGAGATAAAGTGGATTTCTCACTTGCATTCACCAATATAACTTGGATATGATCAGAGACTCTAGTAATGTGCAAAGACAAAGAAGAGGTTTGGAGAAAAAGAGAAACCAATAGTAATGACAGAGCTATGGTGTGCATAGAGAGAGAGAGAGGAGTAAGGGAGAAACACATTTTNTTTGTTCTTTAAGATTCTAAGAATTAAATCTGATTTTCTTTGGAGTTTAAAAAAGGGCAAACCATTAGCTTTATTGCAAACTAAAGCTAATACTTTTGGATTGATGTTGTGTGACAACAAAGGGTCAACGATCCTTCTATATATACCAACGAATTATTTGATTGTATGATGTGAATTCGTAAGTCTCATCTTCAAGTCATGGAAATTAGAAGATGCGCAAATATCTCACTTGAAATTTTAGAACTTGGATTTCCATATTAAAATACTAATTTTTTTTACTCAACCCAAAAACTGAAAAGTAAGCCCAAAAAGGGAAAAACAAAGATTTCTCAGTTAAAATTCTGCAGCATCATAATTTTTTTTTTTTCNCACACTTTTGTATCTACATAGAGCACCAGAAGGGTTTAGATTCTTTTCGGCACTAAATTACTTTGATATTAAGGTTGTGTTTGGTAATGCGTTGTTTCTATTTTTTTTTTTAATTTTTGTTAAAATAAAAAATAAAAATGTGTTTGTGATGTGTTTTTATTTTTTTTAGCAACTCTATTTTAAATACAAGACAAAAAAATGAAAACACAAAAAAGACAGTTTAAAAAATAGGAAAAAATGGAAACACGCACGCAGGATAGTGAGATTTTAATGAGGTCCAAGATCGAGGAGGCTCATCTCTTTTGTCATCTTCAAATTTGCTTATCTCTTCTCTCTATCTTTAGATCTACTTTTGGTGGTGGTGGTAGAGGACTAGTGTTGGTGGTGGGTTTTTACGGGTAATTGGTTGGTGGGTTTTCGGGAGTGTTTGTCGTGGATTTTCAGGGAGTTTGGTGGTGGATTTTTGGGGGTTAAGAGGTGGGTTTTCGGTGGGTAGGTGGTGGATTTTTAGGGTATTTGATGGTCGGTTTTCAAGGAATTTGGTGGTTAGGTGGTGAGTTTTTAGGGGTGTTGGTGGTGCATCCCCAATTATTTATTGAAGATCAACTTATCCACCACCCACCGATGTTAACACAAGTTTGAGTCAAGGACCTTAAAAATAATATTTTATTTCGTCACATGTGCAGAAAAGAAATAATTGAAATGAGAGAGAGATGGAGACGGTGGATAAGTTGGTTAAACAAGTAAGATTTTAATGCAAAGAATGAGAAACGAAGAGATGAACTTCAAGGAAGTTTTTTTATTTTTATTTTTTATATTGGGTTAACTTGAAGTAGTTATAATTACGATTCCTCTAGACTTATAGTTGTAACTCAAATTTTGAATGTACACAATCACTCGCAAGCCACGACCATCAGTTAAACTCATATTTTATAAAATNTTATAGTTGTAACTCAAATTTTGAATGTACACAATCACTCGCAAGCCACGACCATTAGTTAAACTCATATTTTATAAAATTAAAGAGACTCAAACTTAAAATATAGAGGTTATTTTGCTTTTTGTTCCACCACTGAATTGCCCTGTGGCTGTGCGCTCAATTTATATCTATAATATAAAATATGACAAATTTCAATAAGTTTATCAAATGATTTCAAATAGATTCATTTAACGGCCACCAATATCTATATCAAAACCATTTATATTGAATTCCCCTCCCCCTAAAAATTTATTAGGGCCAAAATTGCTTGGAAGGATGCGTGTAGGCCAATGCAAGAAGGAGGTCTAGGTATTAAATGCCTGAAAGTTTAGAATGCAGCTCTCATGTTGAGGCATTTATGGATTCTCTTTGAGGACAAAGAGAACTTATGGGCTAAATAGATTCACACTTACCTCTTGAAGGGGAGGTCCCTTTGGGTGGTAAGGTCATCAAGCAGCAGTTCATGGAATTGGCAGAATATGTTAAAGTTGAGAGACCGGATTAGTCCTCACTTGATCCACACTATAGGGAATGGAGAGACGACAAGTCTATGGTATGACAATTGGCACCCAAGAGGACCTCTGATTTTGAATTGGGACCATAGAATTATTGCTGATTCTGGTTTATCACAGGAGGCTAAAATGAGCAGTGTTATTTGTAACAACCAGTGGCAGTGACAACATTCTCCAATAGTTGATTTAAGTGATATATTTAGCACTATGCCTTCCTATGCCCCAAACCAGGCTAAAGTGGATAGCGTCAAGTGGACTCCTTCTGTCAATGGCAAGTTTTCTGCTGCATGTGCTTGGGAAGTTATTAGGAGCCCAAACCCAAAAGTGCCATGGTTTAAACTGGTTTGGTTCACACAAGCAGTTCCCAAAATGAGTTTAATATTATGGTTGACTGTTTATGAAAGACTCAGTATTAAGGATAGGACTTTTAATCCTAGTGTGAGTACAGACTATATTTTGTGCAGAGGGCCTGCTAAAACACATGCCCAACTTTTCTTTGAATGCACATACTCTTATAGTATTTGGCTTCATCTACAGAATATACTCACTCAATCTTGGCAATCTAGGACTTGGTTGGTGTTTATTGCTTGAGCTGCTCAGCATTGGAGAGGCAGATCAATTTTGACAGTGTTGTAGAAATTGAGCCTTCAAGCCACAATGTACCACCTATGGAGAGAAAGAAACAACAGGTTGTTTCAGAACGAATTTAAAGATCCTGAATCAACCCTGTACAACATTTGTGAATCATCAGGGAAAGGATGATGTCCTTGAAGTTTAGAAATTCATATCAGAATCAACAAGTGGCTCTACAATGGCAATTGCCAGCCCATTGTCTTATCCCATGATTCTACTTTGCAGTTCCCTGTTCATGGTGGCCTTTTGTCTTCTCTCTTCCTTTGTGTTAGGTTTCTTGCTTTGGCAATGGGTTGTAGAATGCTTGTGGTGACTACTGCTGTAATTGCATGTATGTTACAGGCAAGTTTTGGTACTGAGTCTGGACTCTGGTCCTGTCCTCTGTTCCTTTGGGTCTGGATTCTAATGAGGAGCATCATTGGGAAGCAGTATGCTTATGGCAACAACTGCTTGCTTGTTTGCTACAGGCTTGTTTTTGGTGTGGTGCTCTCTTGTTGGAGCGTGGAATGACTTGAAATAGTAGATTTTAATTTCCACCATCAGACCGCAAGATGCAAGGCCAAAATTTACAATTTTTTTATAATGTTAGAGAGCATTGTGTTGTGCTGGCTGCTTTGCTAGTGCTAATTTTTGCTTGATGTTTGTTGTTGCTGAACCCTTGTTCTTGTTTTGGTGTGTTTTGCTGGTGCTGATTTTGGCTACTGCAAATGGCTTGCTATGGAATCACATGATCTTGCATATCAGTGGAGTTTTGGGGTGGAATTGGTCCTTGTTCGATTTTATTGATCGAGTTAGATGAATTGGTTTCATGCTCTGTTTTTTGTATATCAATGTTTTCTTGTCAACAATTCTGTTGGAGATATTTTTATTCAGGACCTCTCTTACAGAATTGTGTTTTGAGCCGTGGCGTTTTGGGTTTTTTGATTTTTGTCTTTGAGTTATACGTGACTTCATTGTATATTTTGTGGGTGATTACCCTTTGTATATCTATTTTATATTAATACATTTTACCTTCTGAAAAAAAATAAAATTTATTACTTCTTACTTATGTTATACCGTATTTTTAAGCATGAATTATCCCTAGTTTCGTATAACTCAGGCTTATCACCGTTGAGGACCACGTTGCCCCAACTTTTCAACACTACCATAAATGAGAAAACCAAATGCTGTCCTTTGCTATCAAAATTGTTGCGACACTTGATTTGACCACCCACCTATATAATTAATTATAAGCTTATTTGGATTTAATATTGTTCTGCTACAATTCATTTAGGATGCTGGTACGTCATTTGTCAAGAAATAGGCAAATAGTTCAATCAATCTCGTAAATTCCACTTTAACAACCCCCAAAAAAAAATTAAAAAAAAAATTATGCCCTATACCTTACGGTGCCCCCCCTCAACTATCACATTTCCCCGTGTTGCAACTCTATTTATAAGGGCTATTTGTCTCACATTGTCTATAAACCGTCAAATTTCTTACATTATACATTCCATGTTATTATGAGTATTGGTATTACATTGTTCTAATTTTAGACATTATTATGATTATTGAATTTATCTCTCATGAATATCCTAGTCTCAGTGTGGATGACTTGTCTTAGATCAGACCATGGAGGAGATTTGTCAAGGTGCGTGTAAACTGACCGTACACCTCTTACCATTGAACCAACAAAAAAAAAAGGTATTTAGCGCTACACGATGAAAGAGAATTTTACCCATGTTAAATGAACCTCCTGATTAATACTTTTTGAACGAAAAGAGGATTGGTTGTTTAGAATGACTCACCTCAAAGTGAGTTGGAAGAGTTTTATTTATATTGTATTTGTGAGTAGATAAGAATCCTATACAAGATAACTACATGAGTTTAAATATAAGATAACTGTTAATAAGTGTAATCTTATCCTAACTGCATTATCACTTATCATTCCCCCGCAAAATAATGCTGGAAGCCGGCAATAGTTTGGAAATATGCCTGAAAAAAGTTTGTGCTAGCAAGCTTTTTGTAAAAATATCAGCGGGTTGTGATGTAGACGGAAGAAATTGTAATTTAAAAGCACCCTTGACAACAAGATCCCAAACAAAATGGTAGTCGACTTCAATGTGTTTTGTGCGAGCATGTAAAACAGGATTTGAAGTCATGTGTGTAGCACCCATATTATCACAGTAAAGAACCATAGGTAAGGATGGTGGACCATGAAGATCTTGTAGTAGATAGGAAAACCATAACATTTTGGAGGTGGCAACAGCTAAGGCTTTATACTTTGCTTCAGTGCTAGATCTAGAGACAGTGGGTTGCTTCTTAGAGGCCCAAGACACAAGATTCGGGCCTAAGAAGATGCAAAAACCAGTGGTCGATCGTCGAGTTGTAGGACAACCAGCCCAATCAGCATCAGAAAAGGCGGTGAGTGATGATAAAGAGCTAGAATGAAGGACAAGACCAGAATTAAGAGAGCTTGTGAGGTAGTGTAAAATATGCTTAATCGCTTGTAAATGCTCAGTAGTTGGTGAATGGAGAAATTGGCAAACTTGGTTCACCGAATAATAGATATCGGGGCGAGTGAGAGTGAGATATTGTAGGGCACCCACAAGATGACGATATTCAGTAGGGTCAGGGAGAGGGATTCCATCTGTTGGTGACATTTTGGAACCCATGGCAGAAGGTGTTGAGCATGGTTTGCAGCTAGTCATTCCTGCCCTGTGTAAGAGATCAAGTGTGTACTTGTTTTGTGTCAAGTTGAGACCTGAGTTGGTGCGAGTAACTTCGATGCCGAGGAAGTAATGAAGATTGCCCAAATCTTTAATAGAAAATTCCAGTGCAAGTTGAGATACAGAGGATGTAATCATAGAGGGCTGATGACAAGTCAAAATAATGTCATCGACATACAAAAGAAGGATAAGGGTGTCTCGGACTGTCCAAAGTACAAACATAGAGGTATCAGCCAGACTGTGACGAAAACCAAATTTGAGGAGAAAGGTATTGAATCGGTGAAACCATGCCCGAGGTGCCTGACGAAGTCCATAAATAGCCTTATGGAGACGACAAACGTGGGATGGTGTAGTTGAGTGGATGATGCCAGGCGGTTGATGCATGTACACTTCCTCGATGAGAAATTGATGAAGAAAAGCATTTTGAACGTCAAGCTGTCGAATTGGCCAACGGTTGGAGATGGCAAGACTAAGAACTGTGCGAACTGTAGCTGGTTTTACGACGGGACTAAATGTATCAGTGAAGTCAATCTCGGGTTATTGAGTGAAGCCTTTGGCGACTAATCAAGCTTTATAACGTTCTAGAGAACCATCACTGCGGCGTTTGATGCAGTAAACCCATTTGCACCCCACAACATTCATATGCGGCTTATAAGGGACAAGCGTCCATGTACCATTTCGCATAAGAGCTTGATATTCAGATTGCATTGTTGAAACCCAATTTGGGTCAGTTACAGCTTGGTGATATGTAGTGGGTTCATGGGGGAAGGTGTTATGAACAGTGGCTAGGAATGTATGAGGAATTGGGTGTTTGGTGGCGAGGAAAATCTTGGGTTTTCTAGTGCCATCATGGTGACGGGTGACCATCGGGTGAAGAGATTGAGGCACATAATTAGTAGAATGAGGAGTTGCCAAAGGAGGTGAAATAACTGGTGGGGAATGTGTTGGATTTGTGGTAGATGAAACAACATCTGCAGATAAAGGACTGGGGCTGCGAGGAAGAACAGTCAGAGACGGACTGATTGGCATGTGGAGGAGCCAAAGATGGAGAAACTGGAGCAGTTGCTGAAGTGGGATCATATGCCGAAGAGATAGAAGACCTTCCTGGAAGTGGCAATGGGATGGTAGGAAGTAATGGCCTCCTCATTGCCCACTACTTTTCCCCTTACCAACATCACTAACTTTGTCTCTATGAAACTTGATGGCAACAACTATTTACTGTGGCGTGATCAACTTGAATCCATTCTTATAAGTACAGATTTACTTGGACTTGTCGATGGCTCGATTCTTCCACCATCCTCCACCATCACCTCTTCTACCGGGCAACCAACACCCAACTCAGAGTACATTATCTGGCGAAAATCTAATAAATTTGTGAAGGCTTGTCTCAATGCTACCTTGACTGAATCCTTGAGTTCTCAAATACTTGGGCTCACAACCGCGAAGGACGCTTGAGATGCTCTTGCTGCACTATATCACAACAATGCACTACCCGTAAATCATATCTTGTAAAAGATCTTCAGGGCATCTCCAAGGGCAGTGACACCATTACCGACTATTTCCATCGCATCAAATTGCTAGCCGACTCTCTCGCAGCAATTAACGAACCCGTCAAGGACTCCGATCTTGTTCACTACACTCTCAATGGTTTGAGTGCAGACTATGGCTCTTTTATCACCACAATTGAACACCGCCAACCTCCCATTACTTTTTATGAATTACGGTCCAGTCTACTAATACACGAGCAATGTCTTGCTCGCGGCTATGGTACATCTACATCATCTGCTATTGATCCTCACACAGCACTTCATGCCTCTGTGCCCTCACCCCTTCCTGGACCTCCACGCTTTACTTCTAAACAGGGCAGGAACCACACCCGTTTTGGTTCCTCTTCTTCACGGTACCCACGCCAAGATCAGTCATTGCCAGTTTTCCACAGTTCCCCCAATGGTCAGTCCCCACGTTCTATGACCCCCTCTTCTTTTGGCTACACCTCAAATGACTTTCAAAGGCGTCCACTCATCAAATGCCAAATCTTCTCCAAATCTGGTCATGTAGCCAACAAGTGTCGATTTCGCTATTTCCCTATTCGCAATAGCAATGTTCAGCATCTTCAACAGGCCTTCTCAGGTCTCCACCTCGAGTCGCCACCCACGGATCATCAACCGACTATTGATTATCATTGGATTCTTGATTCCGGTGCCACATCACATATGACTTTTGATCCTGCTATACTCCACCAATCTTCCAGTTATTCTGGTTCTGATCAAGTCTACGTGGGCGATGGTAAGGCTTTATCTATTTCTCACACAGGTTCCACTAAACTTTCCACACCATTGCAGCAGTTGCAACTTTCTAACACTTTGGTTGTCCCTCAACTCACTCAGCATCTTTTATCTATCTCTCAATTCACTCAAGAAAATAATTGTTCTATTGAATTCTTTCCATGGGGTTTATGTGTTAAGGATCTTCGCATCGGGATGACACTCCTGAAAGGACCTCTCAATGGTAACTTGTACTCCATCCCGACAACATCACCATCCTCCATCCGAAATAATGTGGCCCTTATTGGTGATACTCGAGTTCCTGCTCATGTGTGGCATCGTCGATTGGGGCACCTANATACTCGAGTTCCTGCTCATGTTTGGCATCGTCGATTGGGGCACCCATCTTCCCGCACTCTTACATCATTACGTGAGACTTTACATTTTTCAGATTTTCTGCAGGTTAATAAATTTTGTGAGTCTTGTCAATTGGCTAAGAGTCACAAGCTGCCATTTACTAGATCGAATCGTTTATCTT